TCTTCTCTCTTATTTTATTTTATTTTTTCTTGTGATCGTATGCATAAATTTCATGTTGATATAAAGTTACAAATAGCTAATAAAAATGAGAAGTATAAAACCTTGGCTGATACTCATGGATAAAAGCTAGAATTTAATGAAGGTAATTTTTTGCATGGTTGAATTCGTTCAAAATGCTTTCTTCCATATAGTTGAAGTGCTCCATTTAAGTTCTTATAGACCATACAAATTATTAGAAAATTGTCTTCAAATGCTCATTTGATTAATTTGCCTTGAGAACTTTATTTAATCCTTTGTTTAATATTGAAGATCTAATATCATATTGAAGCACTTTCAAGCCTTTGTTACCAATAGGGGGAACTTCTATGTGGTGGAATGATGGCTTCTACATTACTACCACGATAAGTTGATAAAGATAGTGCTCCTGATCTACTTGACAACTATCGCACTCCTATCTTTCCAAAGGCAAACTTTTATGGCACTGGGAAGTTGGTACAAGATAATAGCCCATACAAGCATTAAAGTTTTGCAGAAGGCTTGATTAAATCAAACCAATTCATGAAAATTCTTTGTATTCTTAAATAAGGCTGAATCATTTATTTGGATAATATTTGATTTGAATTTGTGTTTTTTGTCAGGATCTGAGTCAATCTAGATAGGATTAGTTTCTTTTTTATTTCAAATGTCTTCCTTTTTTAATCTAATTGAGGCGTCAAGGGTGTATTAGGATGAACTTTCAATTGAAACCAAAAATTATCCCATAAATACCCCATTTTTTTCATTTTTCTCTCTAAGATGCCCTGCGATATGATTTCTTGATTCCTTTCTCCCTTTTTGTCTCGAAATTATTCAACCTGCATGTAATTTTTATCGATAGTCAATTTCACGTGCCTCGTAAAAAATCTATGATTTCTTAGAACTAAGAGACAATGTTCCTTAACCTATGTCGCCTAATAACAAAGCATATAATAAACTGATCCTGGAGGCTTTTTTGTGGTGGTTGTAGCTATTTGTGAAAGTTGACGAGGAACTGTTGTTGAAAAGTCGCTTCTTTAAAAGATATTATTTGTTTATATTTTTTCTTTTTTCTTTTGAAAAAGATGGATTATAACCTTCTTATAGCTTTTCAGACTCCAAAAGATTTGGTTTAAAAATGCTTTTCACCGCAGAAATTTCTAAAAAGATAGCAATAAAACTGCAGCTAGCAAGAATTGTGGCTGCCATTAGAAAATAAAACTGCGAAAAAGCTATCCTAATGAGAGCCTCATTTAGCGAGGGGTGGTGTGGTTTTGTACAAAACGTTTGCTGGAACATAGGTAGATCATAGGAAATTTGAGTTACTTTTTTTAAGGAACATGTTGGAGAATCTTCCTGTTGAAGAAGGGGAATTTGTGCCTTCTAGGCTTCTACATTTTCATGTTACCTGTGTAGTCATTTGAATAATTAAAAGTCATTCAATTCTAAATGAATTCCATCGTATTCTTCTTCCCAGCTGTGCATTGCCTGGTTAGGATATGGATTTTTTAATGTTCATCTCTTTATCATGATAGGATTATCCTTTTTTTTTTGTGGTTTCATGGTCTATGATCATCGCTGAATTTGGTCATTGAGTCAGTCTAGGCTTGCATTATCTTATTTAATGATCTAAATTGTCATATAAGTTTGTGCTTGAGCCATTGTAAGTTTTGATGGCAGCCTCCTTCCAATATGAAGAGTTCTTGTGGGAACAGATCGTCCATGGCTTGAAGGGAGCAACCTTGTTAAGCGGAAAACTAGTGGGGCTTAAATGCAAACCTACATTCCACTTGTCTCAGACATTTACCCTTCACTGTGTTTTTTTTAATTTGTTTTATATATCGGTTACTATGATTGCGTTGGTCTGTCTGAAATATATTGTTGTGTGCCATTTTAATTATATAACTGGACATTGAGTCGGTATTTTATTGGGATAGTTGAACAATGATGATGTAAACATATAATAATTATGTAAATGACAATTTATATAATAATAGTGGAATTAATTACAAAAAATTAAATAAAATTTATTAAAAAATAAAAAAATGTATAAATGTCTCATTTTATTGAAATCTCTATATTTTAGCTTTTAATATAAAGTAATAGATCAGAATATTTTTCTTGAACATTGTTGAATGTATACTAATGGGCTGGTTAACCTATTTTGCTATATCGGCTTTTGAAATCCTCCTTACAGCCAAAGCATTAATGCTGCGTGAATCAAAGAAGAAAGAAAGAGCTAGTTTGAGTCAATTAAAACATGATCTTTATGTACATTTGGATTACCCCTTGTTTGAACGAGTTCTGCTCAGTTCTTTGCCATAATGGTTTTTTCGTAGAACTAAAATGCTTAAATATTTTATTCAGCGGTTCATAGTGCAACTGATTTAATGGTCCAGTTCAGTTCAATTTTAAAAACTTTTTTGTATATGCCGATGTTTCATTGCATAGGCAGTTTTGAGTCATTGATGACAAACCTTTAGTCTCATGTTTACACGGGACGATAGTGAAACTCATTGACTTGCGCTTTTATGCCTTTGATTATATTGTGGTTTACATTAATCAAGCATGTTTGCGTGGAGAAAACTGGCTGGTACTACTGCTTCTCTGATGGTTATGGGATCTTTTATATATATATATATATATTTACATGCAACCTTTCTGAAATTGATAGCAATCGATAAAACTGAAAGATAGCAAAATAATAATGTGTGGTTGGTTAAGTACCTTTGATTTCGTACATACAAAATATGGATGTAGATGTGGATCTCACATCCATGCTTGAGTTGCCTCAAGAGTACCATGCCATAATTAGATATCATTGAGATTTTATTGTATATTTTCACTTCTATCAATTTCATTTACTAAGCTATATTAATTATAGCGTTACAAATAACTGATAGCATAGTTGACTGATGGAAATTTGAAGGTTAACATGGTTGTGTGGTTATACTAGAAAGAATGGATAATAGTATATTAGAAAGAAAGGAGTATCACTTATTGGAGATACAATAATGAGAAAGAGAAGTTATTTTTGCATCTACAATACAATTGAGGGAGGAATGCTCGAATATCTAATCAGGTAGATGAAAATAATTTGAAAGGAATAGGATGGAAAATAGGCATACCAAAATAAGCAAGCTAGAAGTTTTACTGTGAATTCATGTAAGCTATAGGTAAAACCTTTTGTAGAGCGGAGGAAAGAAGGAGAATTCATAAAGCAGATCACAAATTTGTTGGGATAGGAGACCAATAACAATGATCATTCTTCAGAGCCAATTGATGTGGGGAGAGTTTATGTAGCCTTATCCTATCTTCTGCCAATTTATCTTACCAATTCTTTCATTCTATTCTATGAGGAGATATACATAAAGCAGAACCCCATGAAAGATAAATAGTGGGGTGAATTCTGGTTCCCAACTCCCACTTGCACTACGCTATACTTCAGCAAGACTAAAAGTGTAGAAATGAAAAAAGCACTTTAATTGCCGGGAAAAAGACCTATTTTCACAGCCATTCCGGTTCAATCGCAAGTGGATTTCTGACTAAAAGTGTACTTGTACAAACAAGTCATAAAGCAACAAAATCTTGAATTCCATGGGCTCAGCATAATCATGTCTTTTTTCCCATATTATGCATTTGCTTAATTAACACGAACATTAAGGTTTCATCTCCGCAGATTGTAGAGGAGTGAGGAAAATTGACTTTCCATGTCCCATTTGCCAAAAGTGCTCTCCCGGTTCCACCCTCACGGTCGTGCTTCAAAATGCATTGTTATTTGAATTCATCGCCCCCTCTTCCCTATCCCAACCGGTTTGAGGGAAGAATGAAATCTCTCTTTACATGCATGCTTCTGTTATAGTTTGTAACTGATTACCAAGTCCTTCAAGCTTTATCCCTTCCGCATTTGTTTTTCAATTTCATGAGACTAAACCTTTTTAAAAATTCCATTTTCTGCTTATGATCATGTCTGAAGCTGTGTTCTAGTTGAAGGCGGATAGCTTCTGCAAGGACTTTTGTTCAAATGGATAAATGGAAATTTGTCAGCTTGAGCTTATTTGTGCAAATTCTGTTGCACAATATTTCCAGCAGTTCTTGTGATAATGATATGAATGACTAACTTTTCTTATTTCTACTTGCTCGTTGGAACACAAACACTTGCATGTTGGAAAGGTCTAGATAACTTTTTCTTTCTATCCTGTGATACTATTCTGGAGCTCTTAGAAGGTATTTGTGAAGCAGATTTCACGGAGGGATGGTTGTGGAATAGCGAGGGAAGGCTAATATGCGGTGTTATGGTGTTTGGAAGGGATTGTGGAGAGAAGGTTGATGTTGGACAGCAGGTTTGACGTGATAGTGGCTGCAAACAATAGAGGGAACTCTGAATTGGCGACGTTTAAACAGTGAGGGGCTTCCACCACTTGTTTCCAAGCAAGATAGAGATACACCGCTTGTAAAAGGAAGACGATACAACTCTCTTTAGAGCATAAATTAGAGATTGTAATGTCCAAAATACATAAAATCTAAACTAAGTCTTAAAAACCGAAAATAGAACATGTATATAATCTCCCTCAATGAAAATAAGTCTAATTAGACATTAAATAATAAAAATAAATAAATAAGGCCAGCTGCAGAAAAACCCAGCGGGAAGCCCCATTCAATTTCATTTGAACGGAATCCGGTCTCGATTCCCGCACGCAAGTAAGTCGCGTGGATTGATCACGATCCGATCCCGCGATGAAGGAGAGATGTGGAACCTTGCGTCCTGTTCGGCCCTGATGTGGATCTATGTTAATCACGTGCTTCCCACATCATCTTTGTCCATATTTATGGCTCAACATTCACATATAATAAAAGCATTTTAATCAAACCCTATTTTTTTCATTATTTTTTGTGTCTTTATTTAGTACCCTAACATTCTTGATGTATTAAGCATTTAGTAGCACATCTGGATAATGTATCTTTGACTTTTTAATGTTTTGCAGCCGTTTTGGAAAGTTGCTCACAATTCATATGGCAAAGGCAGAGGTGTTGTTGGTAATAGCTTTAACATAATTTCCTTTTTCTCTCATAGAATATTTATAAATCTACCCGTTAGCCAGCTTCTGTTAAGTGTGAACTTAATCCATGGTACATTTTCCTTCTATAATAACTGTTTCTTAGGGGTTCTTGAGGCAAATTTCATCAAGCCTACACATGATAAGCAAGACTTTGAGAGGTCTAGTCTTTATCAAAAGCTTGAGTTGCGATTAAAAGACATGACATATGAGTACTGGTGAGCTGTTTTCCATTTTTCATTTTCTTCCTAGTTCTTTAACACAGGTCACGTGTAGAGCTATTCAAATAAGATTTTATATTACTCTGTAAATTCTTGCTTCATTTTTATTTGTTGTATAAATTTTGATTTTTCTTGAGCATTGTATATATCAGCTTTTGTCTGGCAGAAATTTTGAAATATAACTAAAGAACATATAAAAATATCTCATTAACAGATGAAAACAAGCGCAAATGAATTGTTATTTATGAAGGGCCCATTTAGCTTTTAATGAATGATATTTAGGGTCTTGGTTTTCTAATGCAACTAGGATGTTGCTATGGATGTAGGATAAAACAATATAAAGATAAACTCAGAGACCAAAGATTACTAAATAACTTAAAGTTTGCTTTTTTAGGTATGAACTCAATAATAAAATTGAGACTGAATGATAATGCAAATATCAATTAATTTAAAACAATCAATGAGATATTTCATACACAAACTTCATGAGTATTTGTGTTGATGCGTTGCAGTTGGGATCTTAGTTGCAGCCAATTTAACTGCAGTCAATCTTTTTCAAGATCAAAATGGGATCATTTTTTCTCAAAAGTTCTTTATCGCACTTGAAGGAATTCTACATCCAACAGCCACAAACAAGATCAAAATATAAATTTGACACTTGCTGTCTCAGGCAATCTAATTATATATTTCGTTACTCTAAATCAACATATAATAAAAACTCCAAAACAATTTATAATGTTAATTTAAAATCAATGTAGTTGACTTATAGGTATCTTTAAATTCTTTTCTTTAGCAGTAGTTTGATTTTAGATTGAGAAATTTCTTCATCTTTAACTAAGAGTGGATGCTGGGGATAATGTTGATGAACTCGTTTAAGATCCCATGTTCCATTGTCCAAGTTCAGCGTGAACTCTAATCTAATTAAAAATGTGGTTGATCCTACTAAATTAGAAAATTCTTATCGACAACTAAGAGTTTGTTGTCCAAAGAGACTTTGTAGACCTTGGGTGGATGCTTGTTTAAGGAAAAAATTATAAATTAAATTTAGTTAACATAGTGCTTTGTGTCGTAGCAAGTGTGCTCTATGATTTACAACTCAAGGGGATTGAGTCATTGGAGAACATCTATACTTTTAATCGTGACTGCAATATAACTGTTTTAACTTGTCGCAAGTTACTTGTTTTCAGAGTCCTATTCTTTACGGCTACTTTACTGACACCATTTAGTAGCAAAGCCGTGCAATCAGAGGACTTGTGTCCATCCTTACTATGATAAATTTGTTAAGATCGATCATAGAGGTACTTTTAATCTCTTTTTGACGCTAGGTTATCTTAATTTTTGCTATCTTCAACAAACTATTGTGGAAGGTGAATGATTTTTTCTCTTAAATTGTAAAGTTTATCTGGATATTTTGATTTTTTATTTTTATTTTTTTGAGACTTAAGTGTTTTTATCTTGACCTATACCTGAGATGATTTGCATTCAGATTCATGGACATCTTGAAACAAGGATCACTTTCACTTGAGATTTATTTTCAACTTTGCCATTGTCAGTATAGAAATGATTTTATTTTCTCATTTTAGATATTTTCCACTTAGATTGCTTGTCTGTAGAAAATTAAGTCTGTGATTTTGCATATATGTTTTTATCTTGACCTATACCTGAGATGATTTGCATTCAGATTCATGGACATCTTGAAACAAGGATCACTTTCACTTGAGATTTATTTTCAACTTTGCCACTGTCAGTATAGAAATGATTTTATTTTCTCATTTTAGATATTTTTCACTTAGATTGCTTGTCTGTAGAAAATTAAGTCTGTGATTTTGCATATAATTTGAATTTATTTGGAAATTTATCCTGTAATAAGATTGTTATATTTGGGCCTAATAATTGCTACTATAAAAGCTGAATTCAAGGGATTGTCATGCATGGAACTGGTAAAAAATTGACTTGCAATTGTGCACCAACTAGATCTAATACCTCTTTAGATGCCAAAGTATTTTTCAAAAACGATTGTGAGCCAAAATTTATTGTGGTGCAAAACAATTATCTATTTTTTAAAGCTTTATCTTTCATTTATTGAATCATTTGATGTTTGCAATTGAAATCTTTCTTCTATAGAATGAAGAACCTCTTTTCTTCTCAATTTTATGATCTCTGTGTGGGTGTATACTCTCTTCGGCTTATTGTGTTTTTCATTTTTTTTTTCTGAGAAATTTGTTTAATATTTTCGTGTATTTGATAACAAACATTATGTAAGTGACACCATTCTTGGGTTCTGAGATGGTGGGATATTCCCAAAAAGATGTTGGAAAGTTGTAGGATTGATTACGTGAGGGGGGAGGTTGTAGGGCGGCTGAAAACCGGTGTGAACGGTGACGGGATAGCGAACCGGAAGTAGAAAATGGGTCGTTTCCTGTTGTAAACAGTAGGCAGCAGCATTGGGAAGGTTGTAGGAAGTGAAATATGTGGTGGAACAGCAGGTGGGGTGAGTTAAATAGCTGTCCGGACTGAAAACAGAGCAAAACGATGAATTAGTGAGATGTGGGCGGCTGGTCAGCGAATCAGAATGGAAAACTGCAGGTTTCCTGCTGCGAACATCAATTTGCTGCAAGTTGGACGACGAAAGGGACCTTCGAACGCCCGGGGGATATCACCGCCTCAACCTCGCAGGTTACAGGCACACCACCTGAAAAAATTCTACAGATACAACAACTCCAATCGAGATAACCAGAGAAAACATCTCCAAATAACATAATAATACTAGTTAAAAGTCCTCCAAACTAGAATAAAGTAATATATAAATAGTCTCCCAAATAAAAACCTTACTTAAGAATAAAAAAATAGGAAATAACGAAAAAGAAGATAAATGAATAGAAAATAAAGTAAAAAGGTAGAAAGTCTTGGCTGAAACAGAAATTTGGATGATAGTCTTTTGGATTCCTTTAGTTGCGCATTCTGCGGCTCTTGCAATTCTGCGATCACGAAACAAACAACTTGTGTCATTCTCCCAGGCTAGGAGAATCTTCTTCTCTGGAAAAACCGAGACCCCACTTTCAAATGTTCTTCCCCACAAAGCACGTAAGGAGATGTCCAATGTTGTTCTTCACCACTCCTGTTTAGTCATATGTCAGTGGGTGCACTATTGAACTATAATATAATTTAGCACCTAGCTTACTCGATAGGGCCTTTCGAGAATTGCTCATAAACTTTTAATATTTCACATATTGGGTCTCGCGCAACAATGAGAACTTTAGAGGTTGATTGTATGTCTAAAAAACCTAGAATTCTTTTATTTGGGTTTGCCTTGTGTCTGGTGTCAACATCTCAAGCTCTCAACACATCCTTAAACTCTGCATGAATGTCTATTTCTTCGGACTCACTGCCTTGTAGGACATAATTTTGCTGATTCTCTCTCATGGACTCAAGCTTGAATCACCAACATCTCACCCTCGTTGTCTACAAGTCAATACTCCTCTCCAATCTCCTCTTGGTAGTCTTCATTCTGTCTCCCTTACAACACTTAGCTCGATGAAGATGTCATTCTCTTATTTGGGCAATCGGATGTAATGTGCCCAATCCCGTGAGATTTGAAGTACTGTCTAGCTATGTTGGATTTGAGAGTGTTGGTGGCTCCATCTTTTCTTAACCCTAAATTGACTTCTTTTTGGGTGGCGTCAGATTGGATGCTCTACTAGGGGTACTTATGCTGCTTGATGCTGGGGTTGTACTATGCCTGTAAGATGTGTCTGTCACCTTGTGACATTTCTACACCTTTAAAACTAGGATTTTTACTTTTAGTAGGGACCAATATGGTTGTAGTTGTACTGAAATACTAATAGATTACCTCAATTATCCATGATACCTAACTGTTGTGCGCTTCTCTAGCTCTGCCAACTGGCATTTCATCATAAGTCGTTCAAAATTAGTTGTGTAATCCTCCTTTGATGTGCCTCTCTAGCGCATGTTGTAGAACTTTATGAACATTCGATCTTGGTAATGTGGGAAAAGATACTTACTCCGCATTTCTATTTTCAACTTGGACCATGTAGTGATATTACTCTTCTCTTCTCGTCGTTAAATATGCTTCAGGTTCTTCCATCACAATGAAACGTTTTTTCCGAGCTTGATGATTGCTAATTTAATTCTCTTGTCCTAAGAATATTTTTGTACCAAAAAATTTACTCCTTGTCTAGAGCCACTCGATAAAATCATTTGGATTCATGGGACCGACAAAATTTGATAAATTCAGCTTATTAAAATATTTATTAATGGTTAGTTTTAGCCATTATCAATTCATGTTTTTTCTGATTTATTTGCTTGGATTCTCTATTTTTTCTTTACTTTTCTACTATATCTTGTTTCTATTTTCTTCTTTTTTAATAGATCTTGTAATGGATATTTATATACCTCTTTGCATTAATAAAATTTACATTGGGTTCTATTTTAACATGGTATCAGATCCATGTCCTTGACGTAACCGTCGGGCCTCTCCTTGTCGTCGATTTCTCCTTCCCGGCGCTGCCCCTTCCTCCAGCTTGTCGGATCTCGTAGTCTCTTTCTGCCGAGTTCAATCCCGTCAGCTTGAGCTTCTTTTAAGTGTCATTTTTACCTTCTGCTGGCTGGATGTTGCTTGAGAAGGCACGTCTTGACTATCTAGCTGCCGGAAACAGAGCCTGACTGCTTGGTTCCCTTCAAATTCACTGGTACAGTGGTATTTTAACTTTTCAGCCGACATGGCCTCTTACGATCATCAGTCCAACCGGTCGGACGTGTTTCCAACCCTTGAGGAAGGTAGTCCGATTGGTTTTTTTTTCCAGATTGTCGGAGTTTCTTCCTTAGGTCGGATCTATCCACTCCTACTTACGGTCATCAGTCCAGCCGGTCAGGATCGTCGTTTTGGGATAATGGTTGGAACTGCTAAGCGGGTTGACGGGCTCTACTTCTTCCAAGAGAAAAATACGGAGAATGAGGCACTTCTCTCAGTAGTTATG